CATGATCCTGTCAAGATCCTTCATTATATTTACTTGTCATGATCATTTATTTGCTTTCAATATAAAATCCCTTCTTCCCTTCTTTGTTTTGTTAGCTTCTATTCAGTACAGAAATAATAGATATTATTGTGACATATGCATGTATACAGTTATTTTGATTGTGCCCCCACTTTTGTGGGGGGGGGGGGTCAGGATGCACTTGCCACGCAAGTGTTCTGCTACTTCAGCCATGCCTCTATCTCTTTCTTAATTTTACATTTGCTTTTTTTTGTCATAGGGTCTTAGGTTGCTTGGACTAACACCCACCTGCCAACCACACATAGCCCAGATGACTTGTTGTGAAGGAATCTTACTAATCTTTTTCCTAGGCCAGACTCAAATTTTTTTTATTGTGAAAATACTGTACAGAGTGGTTACAATTACATGGGCAAGATAATGAGTACATTTCTTATCAAGCATTGTAGCCTCCTCCCTTTGTTTCCCCTTCCCACCCTTCACATCCTCCCCCGCCCACCCCAATCCTCCCCACTCCCCCCCCAACCCCTCCACCAAAGTTGTAAAGTTCATTTTCGACATAACGACTTGTACATCTCATTGTTGCAATGGTCCACCTGTATCCCTATTTAAACGATTTGTTTTTCCCTTCCCCTCCACAAATTATACCCTCATCAAATACAGTGAAAGCAAGGGTTATAGTGTGGGGGAGGGACATACAAAGCAACAAAGAAATAATCTTATAAATGTGTTAGAAATAATCACGTGAAAGAAAAAAAAACATTTGGATACATATCTTAGGGTTCATTTCCCTAACATTACCTTATCTGAACTTTTCTCCTTGACTCAAAAATATACTAGATATTGCAAATAAGGGAAACCATGGGACCTATGTTTCTTTGGGCCTGGCTTACTTCACTTAATATAATTTTTTCCAAGTCTTTCCATTTCCTAACAAATGGGACAATGTCATTCTTTCTGATGGAGGCATAGAATTCCATTGTGTATATATATATATATATATATATATATATACATATATATATATATATATATATATATATATATATATACCACATTTTCTTGATCCATCCATCTACTGAGGGGCATCTGGGTTGGTTCCATATCTTAGCTATAGTAAATAGTGCTGCAATAAACATAGTCGTGCTGGTAGTTTTAGTGTGGTCTTGTTTATAAACATTTGGGTAAATGCCCAAAAGTGGGATTGCCGGGTCATAGGGGAGCTCTATGTGGAGTCTTTTGAGGAACCTCCATACTACTTTCCAAAGTGGTTGAACAAGTTTACACTCCCACCAACAATGAACTAAGGTTCCCTTCTGTCCACATCCCCTCCAGCATCTGTTGTTTTTAGAGTTCTTGATTTTAGCCATTCTAACTGGAGTGAGGTGGTATCTCAATGTTGTTTTGATTTCCAGCCTCAAATTTTGATTCTCCTTATATCCATCTCCAAAGTAGCTGGGATTATACTCTTAAACCATCCCACCTGCCTCATGATATTAATATATTTATGTAAGTATATATATATACTTTTTATATACTTTATATATATATATATATATATATATATATATATATACTTTTTAAATACACATTAGCTAAAATGTAGGCTGTCACTTAGTTGATGCTTTCTTATTCCTTGTGATTATTATACCTTGGGTATCACATTCTAATTAGGAAATTTATATGTATGTATGTGTGTGTGTGTATATATATATATATATATATATATATATATATATATATATATTAGTCAGTCATGGGGCTTGGACTTGGGTACTGTCACTGAGCTCTTTTGGCTCATGGCTAGTACTCTACCATATTGAGCCACAGCTCCACTTCCAGATTTCTAGTGATGAATTAGAGATCAGAGCCTCACAGAATTTCCTGCCTGGGCTGGCTTTCAACTGCAATCCTCAGATCTCAGCCTTCTGAGTAGTTAGGATTACAGGCATGAACCACCAGCATCCAGTTTAAATAGGAATTTATTTATTTATTTATTTGGATTTAGTTTCTTTATTTTTATTTTTAATCAGTTTTTTATTGTGAAAATACTGTACAGAGGGGTTACACTTACATGAGCAAGGTAATGAGTACATTTCTTATCAAGCATTGTTGCCTCCTCCTTTGTTCTTCCCCTACCATCCCTTCTCTCCCACCTCAATAAAGACACTCCCCTCAAACCCCACCCCATCTCATTGTTACAATGGGCCCACCTGTATCCCTATTTAAGCATTTTGCTTTTTCCCCTCCTCTCCCCAAATTATACCAACATCAAATACAACGAAAATAGGGCTTATACCATGGGGCAGGAACATACAGAGCAACAAAAAAAATTTCGGTACCTTATAAATACTTCAGAAACAATAGCAAGAAAGAAAAACCCATTTGTGTCCCTATCTTGGGGGTTCATTTCACTTATATGACCAGATAACATGAAGTTAAGCATAATTTTTAAATCCTGATTTTTAAGAGTTTATTTGTTGTTATTGTATACTTTTTTTGACCCATTGTAACAATGAGATGTACAAGCAAGACACTATGCTGAACATAAACTTTACAACTTTTGGGGGAAGGGAGAGAGGAATTGGGGCATTGGGGAGGCAAGGGATTTTAGGGGAAAAACAGAGGAGGAGGTAAAAATAGGAAATATACTCATCACCTTACTCATGTAACTGTAACCCCTCTGTACACTATTTTTACATTATAAGATTATTAAAATTTTTTATTTTTTGTCTTTTCTTTTTTGGGCCTGAAAACTGAACACGAGACATTGTATGTGCTTGATAAGTATTTTGGCACTGAGCTACATCCCAGCCCAACTGTCTTGTTTTTAAGAGAATTTGTATCATTAGTTATTTGTCTCTCTTTGTATTTTATTTTAGAAAGCAGCCTCCTACACTGACAAGGATGACAGTCACATGGTCAAAGGTTGCCTGCTGTTTTATTTGCAGGAAGACGCAGATTCTCTACGGGGCTCCATTGGCTGTTGTAGTTTTATTGAAGGAGAGCTAGAGGACACTTCTAACATGACTTGGGACTTAAATTCAAGACACTGGCTGAAGTTTGCTTAGATTAATAACTAGATATGGATATGGAAATGGAGCAGAAATGGTAGATCACCATTATGCTAATGAAGGGAATGTTGTGGTTACAGAAAGAGTGATCCAGCCCAATGCAGGTGTCCAGAACCCTCTGGAAGCCACCCATCAGCTTCAAGATGCGCATTGTGTTATGGTAAGTGAGAGAGAGACAGCATCCTTGCTCCCAGTTCAGGGGTACAACCCACTGTAACCACACCCAACAGGCAGAATGTGATGGTGACAGACAGAGTGCTAACCCCTGCTGCTGTGCTGCACTCCAGTTGCCAGATGCCCACAGAAGCCTCCATAAAAGTTAGAAACACTGTGGTTTCTGGAACTGGAGTCCCAGCACTTCTGCTTTTGCAGAATCTGGTCATTATAACTCTACCATGACCACAGCTTCTGCCAGAATCACCAAGCACAGCATTGTGCAACATTCTTACTCCTAAATAGCATTCAGTCACAGACTCACCCAGAATGGAACTAGCAGTGACTGGCTGAACGTTGTCCTCATTTCTAGCCTTTCAGAAACCCTGTAGATCTGTAGACAGAGGTAATTGAACTTGAACAACTTCTCAGTCACTGATCTGCACAGAGCCACACTGCCGCTGCTACCACTGGTGTATTTGAGAAAGGCTTCTTGATACCCTGAAGATAGACAGGTGATGTTTTTAATTGTGAAAATACTGTACAGAGCGGTTACAATTACATGGGCAAGGTAATGAGTACATTTCTTATCAAGCATTGTTGTCTCCTCCTTTGTTTCCCGTACCCATCCCTTCCTATCTCCCTCCCCCACCATTCCCCTACACCTCCCCAACCCCCAGGCTAAATTTGTAAACTTCATTTTTTGACATAATGTCTTGTATATCTCATTGTTGCAATGGGTCCACCTGTATCCCTATTTGAACCATTTGTTTTTTTCCCTACCCCTCCACAAATAATACCAACATCAAATACAGTGAAAACAGGATGGGGTTGTTTCTTAAGGGCCTGTTTTTAGCAAGTTGTGCAGACAATAATCACAAAACACAAGGACATCTAGCTCAATTGATGTGCAGTAGCCAGTTCATTTGCCAACCCAGGAACCTAGATTTCTCCGAATACCTTGCTAATATTTAACATAGAGTCTCCACATTCCTGCCCCAAACAGATATATAACTCATTTATCCAAGGGCACATGTACCATCAAGGCTACCACTTTCCTTGTGGGCTTCTTTAACGCTGAAACTCTTTCATTTATGTGAGATGTCTTAAATTTTGAAGCACTAATATAGAAAGAACATAGATTGTGTATGTATACACAAGATATTTATTATATACTGGCCTTAAAATGATTCATATCTTACTTATTATAAGAATGATAGTTAATTTTTTGAAAAGCTCAGGATTCTCTCCATTTTAGAGCCTTGTGATCTTACTTAATTGTTTTGCTCAAAGCTGGCACTCTACAACTTGAACCACACCTCTACTTCCAGGTTTTGGATGCTTAATTGGAGATAAGAATTCCATGGACTTTATTACCCTGGCTAGCTTCAAATCTCAATCCTTCGACCTCAGCCTCCTGACTTGCTAGCATTACAGTTGTAAGCCACCAGTGGCCAAGATATATTGTTTTCTGAACAGCCACAATTTGGTGGAGGCAAACTTACCAACTCTATTCGCTATTGTTGTAGGGAGGGTGTCTTATCAATCATTCTAACACTGCCATAGTATGCACAATGCCTAACATAGTGCCACATAATTATTGATAGGAGAAAACTGAATTTTCAAGCAATTCTTTTTCAGCTAAATGGACAAAAACATCAAAGGATCTTATGTGTCTTCTGTTATTAAGTTTGAAATTATGCTTTTATTCTAATATCTCCGATTTATTCATTGCCTTGTCATGACTAAGTATGTAAGTAATAGATACTATATTATAAAATCCTCAAATATTGACCTGACTATGCACAACATCCTTGCCTTGTTTTTTTGTAACAAAGTTACCAGAGTTATGTGGATCCAAAGTAGATTGTATTTATTTCTCTCAGAATGTGCTATACTTCAAAGTATACATGCAGATCAGGAGGAGTTTAATTCAATACTCCCTGCCACAAACTTTTTTCTTTTTACAGACTACCTAAACTCTTGAATTCTATTTGGTTAAGGAAATGAAACATGAAGATGATACTTTTGTGGGCTAAGGAGATTGTTTAGTTGAATTGTGCTGAGAAAAGATTTATATACTACTCCAATATCTGTGTGTCAGGAAAGTTTTAAACATCATAAGTTGTGTCTGATACGAAAGTCTCTCTTGTGTGATCTGGAATTGTTTACACTCTACTTAGTAGGTTTTGTTATTTTTGTTGTTTTCGTTTTCCTTTTTCACTACCATGTATTTTATGTTATCAATAGGAATATCACTGCTGTGAGAAAATGTTCATATGATTCATGCACCAGAAAAACAAAACTTGATCTTCCACTCCCTCCTTGGTCAGCCATGAAAACCTAACCTGACCCTGTGTTCTCAAATGTTCTCACATGTTCTCAGTGCTCTCTGTTTTCTAAAAGAGCATTTTCCTTCATTTTTACATATTTGTATGTATATCATCATAAATATTTAAATAAAAAGGCAATGTTCACAATGCCCCATTCTCTACTGCTTCTTAGCGACTTCTCATATGTTATCAGGAAGATTGCTGAGTTATAAGAGACCGCTTTGCTCTGTGCTGATTCCTGAGCTCTGCTTGAATGAGAATAGCCAATGTTTTTAGAAGAGCATTGTTTGTCTTCCTAAGAAGGAAAGAAAAGAGGAAAGCCCAGTTATACTTGAATTTCAGATCAACAATGAACAAATTCTACTCTTTAAAAAATAAGGAGAGATGCTGTTCATCTTGTATTGGAATTATAGTCCAATAAACTCATTATTAATGAAAACCTACTACAAATGTGCCCACAGTACTCCTAGCCAATTGAACAATATGGTCTAATTTAGAATTAAGACATATCAATGAATATCTAAAGCACTGGAAGTCAGGGATTGTCTATATCTGTTATTTATTCACATTGAACCGGTATGGCAATGAAAAATGAACTATTACAATTTCCTACTCATGACAATTTTGCTTATATTTTAATTCTTTCTAGTTTTCCACTCTGAATTATAAATCTTCACATCTGTTCTTTTGTGTGCTCCAGGGAAACTGACATTTTAAACTATAAGGAAATATTTCATTTCTAGTAATCATGTCATGTGATTTAACTGACAGTAAAACAAATAAATTTTTCTTTTCTCCTTTTATATATATATATATATATATATATAAATACACACATATATATATTACTGCTCAGGAAATTGAACATAGAAACTTGGGCTTACTAGTCTAGTAATCTACCATTTTAGCCACTTCCCCTAGTTCTGGTTTTAGGATTTTTTCCCCCAGTTAGCATCTCACACTTTTGCCCAGTCTGCCATTCAAACAACACCCTCCTAATGATACTACCTAAATACCTGGGCATGCACTACAATACCCAGATCCAACTTTCTCAGGTATCCTGTTCTACAAGTTATCCTTGGATTTCTCCGTTCTGCACCAGTTTCTGTTTCTGTCATATACTGCATTGCTATTGAACAGTGGATAGGAAGGTCTTACCTTCTTGTCCACTTGAGAAGTGCTGAACTGTTATGGAAGGCTTTAGGGAAACCACTCGTGTGGAAGCTGAAGCCTTCAGCTAGATGTCTACTGCTGCTATTCCAACTGCCTTTTCACTATTTCTTTCTTTTAGGCCTTCGGTGGTGAAAAGTATGTTTTAGACTGCCACCACTGGTTTATGTCCTTGTGCGTAATTAAACACAGTTCTGTCAGCCTAGAAAACCTTTCAATGAGGCTAGAAAAAAAAAGAAAGAACTTCTATGAATGAATAAGCACCAAGTCAGATTGTGATACATATCACTGATGCCAAATAAAGAAATGCAAGGACAGGAAAAGTCTAGTATTTTTTATAACCAGGCAGAAAATAGTATCAAGAGGATAAAGGCTGACTGCAAGTTAACCTTGAATAAGTCTAGCCCTGGTCCTGTACTTGGCTCTATGCCTGACACTGCTCAGCCTGTTACTCATAATTATTTCTGCTACAACTAGTGTTGTTCCTGGTGCTGTACCTAGTGCTCACTTCTGGCACCTAACTTACTGGGTGTCCTGCGGGGCCGGGTGAGGCTGGAGGCTGCTGGGTCTGCTGGGAGAGGCCCGAGCCCCAGGGCGCGAGCCCTGTCCACGCTCCAGCGCTCACACACGTGAACATCATTGGTGGCTCGCGGCATTGGTGAACGTTGTTAATTCGATTTGCCTGCGACTCACCGAGTTGGCGGGAAAACGAAATCCCAGAGCCAAGGACTCTGATCACAGAGCTCCGACGCCTCTGAACGGGCGCCATGGGCGCCTATCTGGACAAGACTGGCCTGTCCCTGCCCGCGGGCAGCCCGGCCCAGGACGGCACTGAGCGTCACGCACCTGCTGGCCCTCAGGAGCCCTCGGCCTCCAAGAGCATCCCCCTGCTGTCCTCCTGGGCGCCCATCTCTCTTCTGAGAGCCGGCAAGAGGCCATCCCGCGGGCATCCTGCCGCTGGGCCCAGGCGTGTGCTCAGCTCGCCTCGGAGACGCTATCTGCTGCAGCAGGCCCGCCGTGCCCTGCTGGGGCCGCTGGCTGCTGTGTGCTGGAACCAGCCTCCCCTGCAGACGCTCAGCAGGAGACTGTGCAGCGCGCTGACCCCGAGGATGCCCGCTCAGCACAGCGCACCTTCGCCTGCCCCAGCGCAGGCGCACACCACCGACTCCTGCGCACAGTCTGCGCCCTCCAGCAGCCACCCGCACTCGGGGGACCACCACACACTCACCGAGGTGCTCCAAGACAGGAAGACCAACACCATGGCTGCAGACCACCAGGACTCCGACTCTGATCCACAAAGCAAGAGACAGCGCCAGGACGGCGCCGGGGATGGAGAAACATCGCCCAAGCCCCCGAAGGCGTCTCAGGTACTGAGCTCTGAGTCCTTCAAGGGGGGCCTCGCTGCCCAGGGCTCCCATCAGCCCTCACAAGAGCAATGGCACCCCTCTTCTGGGAGGTGCATGGCAAGCGGGCGGGCTGCTGGCAAGCCTGGCTCTGGCCAGAAAGGCCTCTCCTGTCGCTTTGCTTCCACGCGGGCCGGGGCCCAGCTGGGCAAGAGGTCAGGTCTTGCCTCCCTCTTCCTGCCTGGAGGGAGGCTGGCCAAGAAAGCCAGGGAGGAGCGGCTGCCTCCTCATTGCAGCGCTGCAACTGCCAACATGGCCCCTGACGCCCAGTCTCCAGCAGCCCCACACCCAGAGGCCTCTGACAAAGTCCCAGGGCCCCAGGCCACCTGCCCCGGCCCCAAACGTGGAGTCCGGGTTAAGATAGAGCACAGCCAGCCTGCCTGCGCTGCTCCTGCTGAGACTGCCAACTCTGCCAGGCCAGGCCCCGCTTTTCCAGCTCTACCCAAAGGGCATGACCACAGCTCATTGGCATCTGGCGCCTCACACAGCAGCACCACCCCCTCCATCTCCACCCAGGCTACAGCCACCAAGCCTGTGGAGGGCAGCGTGGGGGCCCCACCCTCAGAGCCGCTCTGCACACAGCCAGCTGCTGCAGACACCAACACGCACCAGGTCAGTGGACCCGACACTGCCACCCCCACTGTGGCCTCGGGCAAGTCAGATTCACACTCAGCCTCAGAGCCAGCTCAGGGCCAGGCCTGTGCCACTACTTTGAATATTCCGCGGGGCATTATTTGGGCTCTGCTGCATTCTACTCCCAGATCCCCTGTGTCTCTGCCCTCCCATGGCCATTTCTCCAAGCGTCAGGGCTCTCCCAGCTCGGTAGCAGCCACCTGCTCTAGCTCCACGGGCTGCCCCAGCTCGCGCAGCCCCTCGCCTGACTCTACCACCAGCGAGGGCAGCTTGAGCTTCAACCGCACAGCCAGGCCTGCCTTCCAATTTCCCTCTACCTCCCGCGTCATGCCCACTCTCCGCATCCACACCAAAGGCCGCAACAAGCTCCCCTGCGGGGACAACAAGCCAGTCCCTGGCTGCTCATGGATGCTAAGAGAGGATGAGGCCGCACACACACCTGCTCAGCCAGGGTCGGCCACAGCACAGGCCCAGGTGGCTTTGGGTTCCTCAGTCCTGTCTGCTTTGGGCTGTCAGAAAGGCCCAGCCTCCACCTTCTGGGACTCTGCCAGCATGCAGCCCTTCCAGACCCCTCTCACCACCACTGGCTGTCGGGTCACCTCTCAGCCCACCCCCACCCCCACCATTAGCAGCAGGATTGCCAGCTGCTCTCAGGCCGCCTTTCCATCTGGCAGCTTGGCTGCCTCAGCTGGCCCTCGGGGCTTTGGACCCACTGGGACCACCCCAGGCCCTAGCTCCTCTTCTGAAGCATTCTTCTTCCCAGCCTCCATGTGTGTACGCCATGGACAGCAGCAGCCTCTCTGTTGGAGCCACCTCAAACCCACCCATGGCTTCAGGGGAGTTGGGCCTTGGGGATCAGCAGTGCCATGCCTTGCCACCGGTGTGGCTTCAACCTCATGCCAGTACACTAGCAAAAAGTAATCCCTGTCCCCTCCCATCCCTTCCCCCAATCAACCACCCCTTGTCTGAATCTGGACCCCAAAACCTGCTAGGGAGAGGCTCTGACCCTCTGAAGTTGCACAAAGCAAACTCAGCCTGGATCTCTGGCTTCAAATGGTCGACTTGGAAGTTAGCAGCCTGTGCCTGGTCACTTCTGGAGGAAGTGGGCACCTCCAGCATGTGTAGGAGGTCACAGGATGGAAGCCAGAAGCCAGATACCTGACTTCATCAGTCACCCAGGTGAGGCCGGAGAACTAAAGGAAGGTGAATATGCTGTTCACTGGCTCTTCTGAGTCTCTGTGTAGTGCAGAACATGCTCAGTGGCTCTTCCACCTTCCTGTGATCTAGAACATGGGGAAGCTTTGCTGCAGGTTGGGTTTCTCATGTTATATTCGTGTGGCGGGACAGATGCAGCATTCCTAATT